GAGAGACCAGAGAGAGAGAGACCAGAGAGAGAGAGACCAGAGAGAGAGAGACCAGAGAGAGAGAGACCAGAGAGAGAGAGAGACCAGAGAGAGAGAGACCAGAGAGAGAGACCAGAGAGAGAGACCAGAGAGAGAGACCAGAGAGAGAGACTAGAGAGAGAGACCAGAGAGAGAGACCAGAGAGAGAGAGACCAGAGAGAGAGAGACCAGAGAGAGAGAGACCAGAGAGAGAGAGACCAGAGAGAGAGAGACCAGAGAGAGAGAGAGACCAGAGAGAGAGACCAGAGAGAGAGAGACCAGAGAGAGAGACCAGAGAGAGAGAGACCAGAGAGAGAGACCAGAGAGAGAGAGACCAGAGAGAGAGAGACCAGAGAGAGAGAGACCAGAGAGAGAGAGAGACCAGAGAGAGAGAGACCAGAGAGAGAGACCAGAGAGAGAGACCAGAGAGAGAGACCAGAGAGAGAGACCAGAGAGAGAGACTAGAGAGAGAGACCAGAGAGAGAGACCAGAGAGAGAGACCAGAGAGAGAGACCAGAGAGAGAGAGACCAGAGAGAGAGAGACCAGAGAGAGAGACCAGAGAGAGACACCAGAAAGAGACACCAGAAAGAGAGGGAGACCAGAGAGAGAGACCAGAGAGAGAGAGAGGGTGGGAGATAGGCCATGTGCTAGATGCTATAAAATTAACTTCCGTTCCAGCGTCATGGGAAATACTTTTTTTCAACGTTTTCTGAAAGCTTATAACAATATGAACACAATCTGAAGTTTCCACACAAAGAATCCTTGTCGTATTTTTGCTAGCGCCAACTGAAATTTGAACTTTTTATCATGTAAAGTAGTATGTAAATTGCCATTGACCCAGTTTCAACCAATCAGAGCGCTGGATTTCTTGGACATGTAGTCGGTGTGTTTGTCAACAACGATAGCAGCCCCCGTTTGCAAGAGGCAACCAGGGTTTCCTCCGGGTGCTCCGGTTTCTCCTACCACTAAAAACATGTACCATAGGTCTGGCATGTGATGGAGGGAGAGACAAATGCCCAAAAATAACAATTGTAAAGCTCTTTGTGACTCTGGTCTGAGGCGCTACATAAATAACTATCACTTACTTAAATGATCGGCAGAAGGTGAGGGTTTTCATCATAATCATTTATCAATCAATGGATGCAACATGATGTGCAATGAACAATGACTGACTCTCTGGTCTCTCTCTCTGGTCTCTCTCTGGTCTCTCTCTGGTCTCTCTCTGGTCTCTCTCTGGTCTCCCTCTGGTCTCTCTCTGGTCTCTCTCTGGTCTCTCTCTCTGGTCTCTCTCTGGTCTCTCTCTGGTCTCTCTCTGGTCTCTCTCAACATGATGTGCAATGAACAATGACTGACTCCAGGGCATGGGCGTGGCATGGTCAGTATGGGCGTGGCATGGTCAGCATGGGCGTGGCATGGTCAGTATGGGCGTGGCATGGTCAGCATGGGTGTGGCATGGTCAGAATGGGCGTGGCATGGTCAGAATGGGCGTGGCATGGTCAGCATGGGTGTGGCATGGTCAGAATGGGCGTGGCATGGTCAGCATGGGCGTGGCATGGTCAGTATGGGCGTGGCATGGTCAGCATGGGTGTGGCATGGTCAGAATGGGCGTGGCATGGTCAGTATGGGCGTGGCATGGTCAGCATGGGTGTGGCATGGTCAGAATGGGCGTGGCATGGTCAGCATGGGTGTGGCATGGTCAGCATGGGCGTGGCATGGTCAGCATGGTCAGTCAGTCAATGATTATTATAGTAATGTATAATTGGGCACAATAAAAGATTGTTCCAGATTTTAGCAGCATGAATCTGAAAAGCAGCCTCCCCATGTTTAGTTCTGACTCTGGGCACTAACAGGAGTCCAGTCCCTGTGCTCCTCAGAGTCCCAGCAGGAGTCCAGTCCCTGTGCTCCTCAGAGTCCCAGCAGGAGTCCAGTCCCTGTGCTCCTCAGAGTCCCAGCAGGAGGCCGGTCCCTGTGCTCCTCAGAGTCCCAGCAGGAGTCCAGTCCCTGTGCTCCTCAGAGTCCCAGCAGGAGTCCAGTCCCTGTGCTCCTCAGAGTCCCAGCAGGAGTCCAGTCCCTGTGCTCCTCAGAGTCCCAGCAGGAGTCCAGTCCCTGTGCTCCTCAGAGTCCCAGCAGGAGTCCAGTCCCTGTGCTCCTCAGAGTCCCAGCAGGAGTCCAGTCCCTGTGCTCCTCAGAGTCCCAGCAGGAGTCCAGTCCCTGTGCTCCTCAGAGTCCCAGCAGGAGTCCAGTCCCTGTGCTCCTCAGAGTCCCAGCAGGAGTCCAGTCCCTGTGCTCCTCAGAGTCCCAGCAGGAGTCCAGTCCCTGTGCTCCTCAGAGTCCCAGCAGGAGTCCAGTCCCTGTGCTCCTCAGAGTCCCAGCAGGAGTCCAGTCCCTGTGCTCCTCAGAGTCCGGGCTGGTTCATATGGGACTAACATGTCACTAATATATTTTGGTGCGAGGCCATGGAGAGACTTGTAACAAGCAGAGCTGTTTTAGGCCCTGTCCACACGAAGTCAAGCTCAGGCCTAAACGCAAAAATACTTTATCAATCCAGTGTATCGTCCATACGAGGCCGGCGTTTTGGGGGGGTGTAAACGAACATTTTTGAAACTAGGTCCCAGAGTGGAAAGATTTCAAAACTCCGTATATGCCGCTCCGTGGTTACTGCCTCTCCGCAATGTATCTGAGACGCTTGCGTCATCGCCCCGCCTCTTGTTAAAGCACGCATGCGCCGCACTCAGAAAATAATGACAACAACAATGTAGCTTGTTGGTTTTGTAATCCAGTGTGACCCGAAGCAACAGTTCAACCTCATCGTCCGTCCATACTAATGTAGTACCAGCTCGCCCACTCGCCATGTTGTCTGTTTACAAAATTCCGCGCATGCCCAGTTCCCGTCACGGAAGTTTGGGCTTGATCCCGTCATTGCGTCACAGCGCCACCAACAGGTCTGGCATAGTTTCACAGCGTTTTCAGGCGTATTGACTACATTCATATGGACGCACACATTTACTGAGCTAACTCCGTGTTTACAGAAAAAGTTTCTGAAATTATAAGCGTTTTGTCTTCGTGTGGATATAGCCTTAAAGTCTATTCTCTGAGCCACAGGAAGCCAGTGCAGAGACCTGAGGACTGGACTAATGTGGTCGTACTTCCTGGTTCTAGTCAGGACTAATGTGGTCGTACTTCCTGGTTCTAGTCAGGACTAATATGGTCGTACTTCCTGGTTCTAGTCAGGACTCGAGCTGCTGCATTTTGAATGTACTGCAGCTGTTTTACAGCCTGTTTGGACAGACCTGTGAGCAGGCCATTGCAGTAGTCTAACCTACTGGAGACAAATGCATGGATAAGAATCTCCAAGTCTGCTTTAGACACTATGTTTTTGATCCTGGCAATGTTTTTTAGATGGTAAAAAGCTGCTGATGTTACTGATTTGATGTGGCTATTAAAATTTAAGTCTGAGTCCAGTATTACCCCTAGATTTCTGACCTTGTTTGAAGGTTTTAGGGAGAGAGACTGTAGGTGACAGATGACGCTCTCTCTTTGTTTCTGGGGACCAAAGACAATCATTTCAGTTTTGTCTGCGTTTAGCTGAAGGAAGTTGTTTTGCATCCACTCACTGATCTGTTGGATACAGTGAAGGAGTGAGTCCACTGGTCCATGTTCTCCTGCAGTCAGTGAGACATAGATCTGAGTGTCGTCTGCATAGTTGTGATAGGACACTTTGTTTCTGCGTATTAACTGACCTAACGGCAGCATGTAGAGATTGAACAGAAGAGGTCCCAGGATCGACCCCTGTGGTACTCCACAGGTCAGGGCCATATGATCTGAGACACAGTCTCCAATCTCCACAAAGTACTTCCTGTCTTCAAGGTAAGACCTAAACCAACTTAGGGCGGTGCCAGCGACTCCAACCCAGTCCTCTAGTCTCTGTAAGAGGATCTCATGGTCGACAGTGTCAAAGGCAGCACTTAGATCTAACAAGATTAAGATTGAGACTTTGCCTGCGTCAGTGTTCAGCCGGATATCGTTTGTAACCTTAACGAGAGCAGTCTCAGTGCTGTGGTGGGGTCTAAAGCCGGACTGAAACATATCAAATGAGTTGTTGATTATAAGAAATCTAGTAAGCTGTAGGTAGACAACTTTCTCAAGGACTTTCCCCATAAATGTCAGATTTGAGATGGGACAATAGTTGTTAAGTACCGTAGCATCCAGACTGCTCTTTTTTAGCAGGGGCCTAAATAAAATCTCTAACTCTAGCATCAAATAACAAGTATAAAATCTCCATCTTGAACATAATAATAATAATAAAGATGAACATAAACCTCAGATGTAAATGACATATCATTAAATATTTGAATTAATTTTTATACTGCATTTAAATGTGTAATAATGTAAAATATCGCAATACTGAACATAATTTATTTTTGTTGTAATTTATAAATAAGTAAATACTGTTTCCTGTTGTTCCAATCCTGCGCATTAACGATGGTCCCCTTCTCTGGTTGCAGCCACATTGTTCTGATGCTGGCGGACGACATGGCGTGTAACCATAGAAACCCCAAACCCGCCACGGTCTTCAGTCACAAGAACATGGAGCTGAACGTTTACGGAGACGACGTCGAGGTCGACTACAGAGGCTACGAGGTCAGACTGCAGGCCGCTCTCTCGCTGTCTCTGGTCTCTCTCTCTGGTCTCTCTCTGGTCTCTCTCTGGTCTCTCTCTGGTCTCTCTCTCTGTCCTCTCTCTGGTCTCTCTCTGGTCTCTCTCTGGTCTCTCTCTCTGGTCTCTCTCTGGTCTCTCTCTGGTCTCTCTCTGGTCTCTCTCTCTGGTCTCTCTCTGGTCTCTCTCTGGTCTCTCTCTCTCTGGTCTCTCTCTGGTCTCTCTCTGGTCTCTCTCTCTCTGCTCTCTCTCTGGTCTCTCTCTGGTCTCTCTCTCTGGTCTCTCTCTGGTCTCTCTCTCTGGTCTCTCTCTGGTGTCTCCCTCTGGTCTTTCTCTGATCTCTCTCTCTGGTCTCTCTGGTCTCTCTCTGGTCTCTCTCTCTCTCTGGGTATGTCTCTCTCTGGTCTCTCTCTCTGGTCTCTGGACTCTCTCTGGTGTCTCCCTCTGGCTCTCTCTGGTCTCTGGTGTCTCTCTCTCTGGCCCTCTCTGGCCCTCTCTAGTCTCTCTCTCTGGTCTCTCTCTCTCTCTGGTGTCTCTCTCTGGTGTCTCTCTCTGGTGTCTCTCCCTGGTGTCTCTCTCTGGTGTCTCTCTCTGGTCTCTCTCTCTGGTCTCTCTCTCTGGTCTCTCTCTCTGGTCTCTCTCTCTCTGGTCTCTCTCTCTGGTTGTGTAGAATAACTCCAGTTGTTTCCAGGTGACAGTGGAGAACTTCCTGCGTGTGTTGACGGGGAGGTTACCTTCGAGCACGCCACGCTCCAAACGCCTGCTCTCCGACGACCGGAGCAACATCCTCATCTACCTGACAGGTTTTCACAATATTATTATTATTATTATTATATTTATTATTATTATTATTATTATTAATATTATTATTAATAATATATGTATTATTATTATTAATATATGTATTATTATTATTATTATAATTATTATTTATTAGCTTTTTATATCATTAGCATTTGAGATTTGTAGACGGCATATACTTGTTGAGATGAAATGCATGCACGGCTGTTTAAGTCGTATTTTCACTTTTTCTGCTCTCCCCGGTCTCTCTTCTCATCCTCTCTCTCTCTCTCCTTCTCTCCCCTCTCCTCTCCTGCTCCCTCCTCCTCTCTCCCTCTCCCCCCTTTCTGTTTCTGTTCTCTCATGTCTCCTCTGGTCCTCTGCTCTCCTCCTCCTCTCCTGGTCTCTCTCTGTTCTCTCATGTCTCCTCTGGTCCTCTGCTCTCCACCTCCTCTCCTGGTCTCTCTCTGTTCTCTCATGTCTCCTCTGGTCCTCTGCTCTCCTCCTCCTCTCCTGGTCTCTCTCTGTTCTCTCATGTCTCCTCTGGTCCTCTGCTCTCCTCCTCCTCTCCTGGTCTCTCTCTGTTCTCTCATGTCTCCTCTGGTCCTCTACTCTCCTCCTCCTCCTCTCCTGGTCTCTCTCTGTTCTCTCATGTCTCCTCTGGTCCTCTGCTCTCCTCCTCCTCTCCTGGTCTCTCTCTGTTCTCTCATGTCTCCTCTGGTCCTCTGCTCCTCCTCCTCCTCTCCTGGTCTCTCTCTGTTCTCTCATGTCTCCTCTGGTCCTCTCCCCTCCTCCTCTCCTGGTCTCTCTCTGTTCTCTCATGTCTCCTCTGGTCCTCTGCTCTCCTCCTCCTCCTCTCCTGGTCTCTCTCTGTTCTCTCATGTCTCCTCTGGTCCTCTGCTCTCCTCCTCCTCTCCTGGTCTCTCTCTGTTCTCTCATGTCTCCTCTGGTCCTCTGCTCTCCTCCTCCTCTCCTGGTCTCTCTCTGTTCTGATTTCATGTTCCCAGCTTTGATCCGTTTCTTTCCTCTCCTTCCCACACACATGGTTCCTACATGGTTCCTACATGGTTCCTAACTTTATTAACTCAAACAGGTCACGGTGGGAACGGTTTCCTGAAGTTCCAGGACTCGGAGGAGATCAGCAACGTGGAGCTGGCCGATGCTTTTGAGCAGATGTGGCAGAAGAGACGGTACGACAGAGACACACACAGAGACACACACAGAGACACACACAGAGACACACACAGAGACACACACAGAGACACACACAGAGACACACACAGAGACACACACAGAGACACACACAGAGACACACACAGAGACACACACAGAGACACACACACACAGAGACACACACAGAGACACACACAGAGACACACACAGAGACACACACAGAGACACACACACACAGAGACACACACAGAGACACACACAGAGACACACACAGAGCCACACACAGAGCCACACACAGAGACACACACAGAGACACACACAGACAGAGACACAGACAGAGACACAGACAGAGACACAGACAGAGACACAGACAGAGACACAGACAGAGACACAGACAGGGACACAGACAGGGACACACACAGAGACACACACACACACACACAGAGACACAGACAGAGAGACACACAGAGACACACACAGAGACACACACAGAGACACACACACACACACACACACAGAGACACAGACAGAGAGACACAGACAGAGAGACACAGACAGAGACACAGACAGAGAGACACACAGAGACACACACAGAGACACACACAGAGAGACACACAGAGAGACACACAGAGAGACACACAGAGAGACACACAGAGAGACACACAGAGAGACACACAGAGAGACACACAGAGAGACACACAGAGAGACACACAGAGAGACACACAGAGAGACACACAGAGAGACACACAGAGAGACACACAGAGAGACACACAGAGAGACACACAGAGAGACACACAGAGAGACACACAGAGAGACACGCACAGAGACACGCACAGAGACACGCACAGAGACACGCACAGAGACGCGCACAGAGACGCGCACAGAGACGCGCACAGAGACGCGCACATCGACGCGCTTATCGACGCGCACATCGACGCGCACATCGACGCGCACATCGACGCGCACATCGACGCGCACATCGACGCACACATCGACGCACACATCGACGCACACATCGTCACACAGACAAACTTAGACTCATCACCTCAATTTTCGGAGGTGTTTGTGTGTCTTTGTCTGTCTCTGTGTGTTTGTGTGTCTGTCTGTCTCTGTGTGTTTGTGTGTCTTTGTCTGTCTCTGTGTGTTTGTGTGTCTTTGTCTGTCTCTGTGTGTTTGTGTGTCTTTGTCTGTCTCTGTGTGTTTGTGTGTCTTTGTCTGTCTCTGTGTGTTTGTGTGTCTTTGTCTGTCTCTGTGTGTTTGTGTGTCTTTGTCTACCTGTCTCTTTGTGCATGTGTGTCTGTCTGTGTGTGTGCATGTCTTTCTGTGTGTGTGTGTGTCTCTGTCTCTTTGTGTGTGTTTGTCTCTCTGTTTCTGTGTGTATGTGTGTCTGTCTCTGTGTGTGTGTGTGTCTCTGTGTGTGTGTGTGTGTCTGTCTCTTTGTGTGTGTTTGTCTCTGTTTCTGTGTGTATGTGTGTCTCTCTCTCTGTCTCTGTGTGTGTGTGTCTCTCTCTGTCTCTGTGTGTGTTTGTCTCTCTCTGTCTGTGTGTGTGTGTGTGTGTGTCTCTGTGTGTGTTTGTCTCTGTTTCTGTGTGTATGTGTGTCTCTCTCTCTGTCTCTGTGTGTGTGTGTCTCTCTCTGTCTCTGTGTGTGTTTGTCTCTCTCTGTGTGTGTGTGTGTCTCTGTGTGTGTTTGTCTCTGTTTCTGTGTGTATGTGTGTCTCTCTCTGTCTCTGTGTGTGTGTGTGTCTCTGTCTCTGTCTCTGTGTGTGTGTGTGTCTCTCTCTGTCTCTGTGTGTGTGTGTGTCTCTCTCTGTCTCTGTGTGTGTGTGTGTGTGTGTCTCTATCTCTGTCTGAGTGTGTGTGTGTGTCTCTCTCTCTGTCTCTGTGTGTGTGTGTGGTCCAGTCCCTCCTGCCTTCAGGGGGAGACACGGATGTTGTGTAGTTCTGCTGTGACCTTAAAATCAAACGGAGGAAGTGGCAGAGGGGTGCGTGGGCGTCTTACATGGTGTTCCTCCCGTCGCCATGGAAACTGCTGTCTGGTAGATGGAATGTAGGTTGGTCTGGGGCTGTTGTTGGGAGCGATCAGGCTCCATGACAGTTTTACAAAGCAAGTAACTTCATCCAACTACTTCCTCCGTCTCTGACACAGCTTTAGATCAGCTTTGTCTCATAGAAAGAGAACAAGAGAGGACCGCACTCTCTCAGCCAATCAGCTCTCAGCACTAATCAAGTAGTTAAGAGCGAGGTCAGAGAGGATTTCCTCTGGTCTCTCTCTCTGGTCTCTCTCTCTGGTCTCTCTCTGGTCTCTCTCTCTGGTCTCTCTGGTCTCTCTCTCTGGTCTCTCTCTGGTCTCTCTCTCTGTTCTCTCTCTGGTCTCTCTCTCTGGTCTCTCTCTGGTCTCTCTCTGGTCTCTCTCTGGTCTCTCTCTGGTCTCTCTCTGGTCCCTCTCTGGTCTCTCTCTGGTCTCTCTCTGGTCTCTCTCTGGTCTCTCTCTGGTCTCTCTCTGGTCCCTCTCTGGTCTCTCTCTGGTCTCTCTCTGGTCTCTCTCTGGTCTCTCTCTCTGGTCTCTCTCTGGTCTCTCTCTGGTCTCTCTCTGGTCTCTCTCTCTTCTCTCTCTGGTCTCTCTCTGGTCTCTCTCTGGTCTCTCTCTGGTCTCTCTCTGGTCTCTCTCTGGTCTCTCTCTGGTCTCTCTCTGGTCTCTCTCTCTGGTCTCTCTCTGGTCTCTCTCTGGTCCCTCTCTGGTCTCTCTCACCGCTCGGTGTTTGTGTTGCAGATATAACGAGCTTCTCTTCATCATCGACACGTGTCAGGGAGCCTCCATGTATGAGCGCTTCTACTCCCCAAACCTCATGGCTCTGGCCAGCAGCCAGGTCGGAGAGGACTCTCTCTCTGTGAGTACACAACACACAAAACTCACACAAGGTAGACACAAGACATACACAAGAGAGACAGAGCAGAGAGCGAGAGACCGAGCAGAGAGACAGAGCAGAGAGCGAGAGACCGAGCAGAGAGACAGAGCAGAGAGCGAGAGACCGAGCAGAGAGGGAGAGAGACAGAGCAGAGAGGGAGAGAGACAGAGCAGAGAGAGAGAGAGACAGAGCAGAGAGGGAGAGAGACAGAGCAGAGAGGGAGAGAGACAGGAGCAGAGAGAGAGAGACAGAGCAGAGAGCGAGAGACCGAGCAGAGAGGGAGAGAGACAGAGCAGAGAGGGAGAGAGACAGAGCAGAGAGGGAGAGAGACAGAGCAGAGAGGGAGAGAGACAGAGCAGAGAGGGAGAGAGACAGAGCAGAGAGGGAGAGAGACAGAGCAGAGAGGGAGAGAGACAGAGCAGAGAGAGAGAGACAGAGCAGAGAGCGAGAGACCGAGCAGAGAGGGAGAGAGACAGAGCAGAGAGGGAGAGAGACAGAGCAGAGAGGGAGAGAGACAGAGCAGAGAGGGAGAGAGACAGAGCAGAGAGGGAGAGAGACAGAGCAGAGAGGGAGAGAGACAGAGCAGAGAGGGAGAGAGACAGAGCAGAGAGGGAGAGAGACAGAGCAGAGAGGGAGAGAGACAGATAGAAATAGATACATAACTTACTCCATCATTCTGCGGTAATTACTTTCCGCTCGTTCCCAAGTGTGAGTCAGGCCTGAAAGCCACTATCAAAGCCCCCCCCCCCCCCCCCCCCCCATCTCATCAGAGCCTCAGGTTGGACCCCCCTCATCAGAGCCTCAGGTCGGACCCCCCTCATCAGAGCCTCAGGTCGGACCCCCCTCATCAGAGCCTCAGGCCGGACCCCCCTCATCAGAGCCTCAGGTCGGACCCCCCTCATCAGAGCCTCAGGTCGGACCCCCCTCATCAGAGCCTCAGGTCGGACCCCCCTCATCAGAGCCTCAGGTCGGACCCCCCTCATCAGAGCCTCAGGTCGGACCCCCCTCATCAGAACCTCAGGTCGGACCCCCCTCATCAGAGCCTCAGGTCGGACCCCCCTCATCAGAGCCTCAGGTCGGACCCCCCTCATCAGAACCTCAGGTCGGACCCCCCTCATCAGAGCCTCAGGTCGGACCCCCCTCATCAGAGCCTCAGGTCGGACCCCCCTCATCAGAGCCTCAGGCCGGACCCCCCCCTCATCAGAGCCTCAGGTCGAAGCCCCCCCTCAGAACCTCAGGTCTGACCCCCCCCCCCCTCATCAGAGCCTCAGGTCTGACCCCCCCATCATCAGAGCCTCAGGTCTGACCCCCCCATCATCAGAGCCTCAGGTCTGACCCCCCCCTCATCAGAGCCTCAGGTCGGACCCCCCCCTCATCAGAGCCTCAGGTCGGACCCCCCCCTCATCAGAGCCTCAGGTCGGACCCCCCCCTCATCAGAGCCTCAGGTCTGACCCCCCCATCATCAGAGCCTCAGGTCTGACCCCCCCCCCCCCCCCAGGAGCCTCAGGCCGGACCCCCCAGGACCTGCTGCTTTGAAGTCCTTATCCCTGACACAGGAGCCACTAACCACAAACTCATTCTGGAGTTTATTCTGTGAAATTAATAAATACTATCAGCAGTTAAAATCACTCACCGGAGAGACGGAGGGAGAGAGAGACGGAGGGAGAGACAGACGGAGGGAGAGACAGACGGAGGGACAGACAGACGGAGGGAGAGAGAGACGGAGGTAGAAAGAGACGGAGGGAGAGAGATGGAGGGAGAGACAGAGGGAGAGAGAGAGAGAGAGAGAGATGGAGGGAGAGACGGAGAGAGAGGGACGGAGAGAGGGAGAGGGAGAGAGAGAGACGGAGGTAGAAAGAGACGGAGGGAGAGATGGAGGGAGAGACAGAGGGAGAGAGAGAGAGAGAGACTGAGGGAGAGACGGAGAGAGAGGGACGGAGAGAGGGAGAGAGACGGAGGGAGATAGAGAGACAGAGGGAGAGAGAGACCAGAGTTCTGAAATGAGCACCTGATTCACAACAGCAGTTTTCTCAGAGGACTTTGCAAAGCTGTCGATTCTCCAAAGCAGATCAGAGAATCAAACACTGCAAACACAGGAAATGCAACGATTAAAACACACTTAGATCCTCCTGCATCATGGAGGAAAAACTCTGTGATTGACGCGGCCTTTTCTCGCGCCTGAAACCCAGCGACAGTATTTTGATTCTGCTGTGTGTTTGTTTGTCTAATTGCTTATTTGAATATTGTGATAGGGTTGGTAAGTGACGGGCCCATGGGTGCCACTGCCTCCTCCAGGCTAATGAGTCACGCGAGACGCTCTGGGACTTTAGATGAAGCCATCAGTCAGAGATGTGTTATGGGCCTAATGCAGGAGAGGAACAGCTCCAACCCCGGATAGAAAAAACAATATGAAAACTCTCCATGGAATAAAAACTGGTTTGAGGAGGGAGGCTACAAGCAGTAGGAGAGAGAGACCAGAGAGAGAGAGGCTGGAGAGAGACCAGAGAGAGGGAGAGAGGTCGGAGAGAGAGAGGCCGGAGAGAGAGAGAGAGAGTCCGGAGGGAGAGAGGCCAGAGAGAGAGACCAGAGAGAGTCCGGAGGGAGAGAGGCCAGAGAGAGAGGCCGGAGAGAGAGAGAGAGAGGCCAGAGAGAGGGAGACCAGAGAGAGGGAGACCAGAGAGAATTAGATTGGTTTTGAGAGGTTCAAAAAGCCTTTTTTGTTATTTAGGCCTGAAGGTCGTGGGTTCGATCCCACCCCACCAACTCCCACTGAGGACTGCTGTCGTTGTGTCCTTGTGCAAGACACTTAACCCCACTTTGTCCGAAGCCCCCACTGAAAGATCAAGGCTATGCTCTCACAGACAGAGCAGCCGTCCTCCTGTGGACTCACCACCTGCAGAGGGTCAGTGAGGGGCTGGTGCTATGAGACTTGGGTGGCATCTCTGACTGCCACCCCCCTGACCCAGAAATGGATTAAGGGGTAGAAAATGGATGGATGGATAATTCTTTTGTGTTTGTGTGAGTGCAGCACCAGCCTGATCTGGCCATCGGGGTTCACCTCATGGACCGCTACACCTTCTACCTCCTGGAGTTCCTGGAGGATATCCACCCGGCCAGCAAGAGCAACATGAACGACCTGGTGAGTCTTCAAACTCACTAAACACTCTTCAAACACAGATGTGTGTGTCTGTGTGTGTCTGTATCATGTCTATATGTGTGTGTCTGTATCATGTCTATATGTGTGTGTGTGTCTGAATCATGTCTATATGTGTATGGACCTGCGTTAGTCTGGGATGGACCTGCGTTAGTCTGGGATCGACCTGCATTAGTCTGGGATGGACCTGCATTAGTCTGGGATGGACCTGCATTAGTCTGGGATGGACCTGCGTTAGTCTGGGATGGACCTGCGTTAGTCTGGGATGGACCTGCGTTAGTCTGGGATGGACCTGCGTTAGTCTGGGATCGACCTGCATTAGTCTGGGATGGACCTGCATTAGTCTGGGATGGACCTGCATTAGTCTGGGATGGACCTGCATTAGTCTGGGATGGACCTGCATTAGTCTGGGATGGACCTGCATTAGTCTGGGATGGACCTGCATTAGTCTGGGATGGACCTGCATTAGTCTGGGATGGACCTGCGTTAGTCTGGGATGGACCTGCGTTAGTCTGGGATGGACCTGCGTTAGTCTGGGATGGACCTGCGTTAGTCTGGGATGGACCTGCGTTAGTCTGGGATGGACCTGCGTTAGTCTGGGATGGACCTGCGTTAGTCTGGGATGGACCTGCGTTAGTCTGGGATGGACCTGCGTTAGTCTGGGATGGACCTGCGTTAGTCTGGGATGGACCTGCGTTAGTCTGGGATGGACCTGCATTAGTCTGGGATGGACCTGCGTTAGTCTGGGATGGACCTGCGTTAGTCTGGGATGGACCTGCGTTAGTCTGGGATGGACCTGCGTTAGTCTGGGATGGACCTGCGTTAGTCTGGGATGGACCTGCATTAGTCTGGGATGGACCTGCGTTAGTCTGGGATGGACCTGCATTAGTCTGGGATGGACCTGCATTAGTCTGGGATGGACCTGCATTAGTCTGGGATGGACCTGCATTAGTCTGGATGGACCTGCATTAGTCTGGGATGGACCTGCGTTAGTCTGGGATGGACCTGCATTAGTCTGGGATGGACCTGCATTAGTCTGGGATGGACCTGCATTAGTCTGGGATGGACCTGCATTAGTCTGGGATGGACCTGCATTAGTCTGGGATGGACCTGCGTTAGTCTGGGATGGACCTGCGTTAGTCTGGGATGGACCTGCGTTAGTCTGGGATGGACCTGCGTTAGTCTGGGATGGACCTGCATTAGTCTGGGATGGACCTGCATTAGTCTGGGAGGGACCTGCATTAGTCTGGGATGGACCTGCATTAGTCTGGGATGGACCTGCATTAGTCTGGGATGGACCTGCATTAGTCTGGGATGGACCTGCATTAGTCTGGGATGGACCTGCATTAGTCTGGGATGGACCTGCATTAGTCTGGGATGGACCTGCATTAGTCTGGGATGGACCTGCATTAGTCTGGGATGGACCTGCATTAGTCTGGGATGGACCTGCATTAGTCTGGGATGGACCTGCATTAGTCTGGGATGGACCTGCATTAGTCTGGGATGGACCTGCATTAGTCTGGGATGGACCTGCATTAGTCTGGGATGGACCTGCATCCCTGTGTTAGTCTGGGATGGACCTGCTTTAGTCTGGGATGGACCTGTATTAGTCTGGGATGGACCTGCATTAGTCTGGGATGGACCTGCATTAGTCTGGGATGGACCTGCATTAGTCTGGGATGGACCTGCATTAGTCTGGGATGGACCTGCATCCCTGCGTTAGTCTGGGATGGACCTGCGTTAGTCTGGGATGGACCTGCGTTAGTCTGGGATGGACCTGCGTTAGTCTGGGATGGACCTGCATTAGTCTGGGATGGACCTGGATTAGTCTGGGATGGACCTGCATTAGTCTGGGATGGACCTGCATTAGTCTGGGATGGACCTGCATCCCTGTGTTAGTCTGGGATGGACCTGCTTTAGTCTGGGATGGACCTGCGTTAGTCTGGGATGGACCTGCGTTAGTCTGGGATGGACCTGCGTTAGTCTGGGATGGACCTGCGTTAGTCTGGGATGGACCTGCATTAGTCTGGGATGGACCTGCATTAGTCTGGGAGGGACCTGCATTAGTCTGGGATGGACCTGCATTAGTCTGGGATGGACCTGCATTAGTCTGGGATGGACCTGCATTAGTCTGGGATGGACCTGCAGGTCCATCCCAGACTAATGCAGGTCCATCCCGGTAAGGTCTACTCCAAGGTACTGGAGAGGAGGTTACGGCCGATGGTCGAATCTCGGATCCAGGAGGAGCAGTGTGGTTTTCGTCCCGGTCGCGGAACACTGGACCAGCTCTATACTCTCCATCGGATACTCGAGGGTTCATGGGAGTTCGCCCAACCTATCCACATGTGCTTTGTGGATTTGGAGAAGGCGTTCGACTGTGTTCCCCGGGGTGTCCTTTGGGGGGTTCTCCGGGAGTACGGGGTCGGGGGTCCTCTGCTGAGGGCCATCCGATCCCTGTATGACCGGAGCCAGAGCTGTGTTCGCATTGCCGGCAGTAAGTCAGACCTGTTCCCGGTGAATGTTGGCCTCCGACAGGGCTGCCCTTTGTCACCGGTTCTGTTCACTGTATTTATGGACAGAATATCTAGGCACAGCCAGGGGTCGGAGGGGGTCCGGTTCGGAGACCACAGGATTTCATCTCTGCTGTTTGCGGACGATGTTGTCCTGTTGGCTCCAACGAACCAGGACCTGCAGCATGCACTGGGACGGTTTGCAGCCGAGTGTGAAGCGGCTGGGATGAGAATCAGCACCTCCAAATCCGAGGCCATGGTGCTCGACCGGAAAAAGGTGCCTTGCCCTCTGCAGGTGGGTGGAGAGGTCCTTCCTCAAGTGGAGGAGTTCAAGTATCTCGGGGTCTTGTTCACGAGTGAGGGAAGAATGGAGCGTGAGATTGACAGGCGGATCGGTGCAGCGTGCGCAGTTATGCGGTCGCTGTATCGGACCGTTGTGGTGAAGAGGGAGCTGAGCCGAAAGGCAAAGCTCTCGATTTACCGGTCAATCTTCGTTCCCTCCCTCACCTATGGTCATGAGCTTTGGGTAATGACCGAAAGAACGAGATCGCGGATACAAGCGGTCGAAATGAGCTTCCTCCGCAGAGTGGCTGGGCGCTCCCTTAGAGATAGGGTGAGGAGCTCAGTCACACGGGAGGAGCTCGGAGTAGAACCGCTGCTTCTCCACGTCGAGAGGAACCAGTTGAGGTGGCTCGGGCATCTGTTCCGGATGCCTCCTGGACGCCTCCCTGGGGAGGTGTTCCGGGCACGTCCCACCGGGAGGAGGCCCCGCGGAAGACCCAGGACACGCTGGAGGGACTATGTCTCTCAGCTGGCCTGGGAACGCCTTGGGGTCCCCCCGGACGAGCTGGAGGAAGTGTGTGTGGATAGGGAAGTCTGGGCGTCTCTGCTTAGACTGCTGCCCCCGCGACCCGGCAACGGATAAAGCGGAAGAAAATGGATGGATGGATGGATGGATGGATGGACCTGCATTAGTCTGGGATGGACCTGCATTAGTCTGGGATGGACCTGCATTAGTCTGGGATGGACCTGCATTAGTCTGGGATGGACCTGCATTAGTCTGGGATGGACCTGCATTAGTCTGGGATGGACCTGCATTAGTCTGGGATGGACCTGCATTAGTCTGGGATGGACCTGCATTAGTCTGGGATGGACCTGCATCCCTGCGTTAGTCTGGGATGGACCTGCATTAGTCTGGGATGGACCTGCTTTAGTCTGGGATGGACCTGTATTAGTCTGGGATGGACCTGCATTAGTCTGGGATGGACCTGCATTAGTCTGGGATGGACCTGCATTAGTCTGGGATGGACCTGCATTAGTCTGGGATGGACCTGCATCCCTGCGTTAGTCTGGGATGGACCTGCATTAGTCTGGGATGGACCTGCTTTAGTCTGGGATGGACCTGCGTTAGTCTGGGATGGACCTGCGTTAGTCTGGGATGGACCTGCGTTAGTCTGGGATGGACCTGCGTTAGTCTGGGATGGACCTGCGTTAGTCTGGGATGGACCTGCGTTAGTCTGGGATGGACCTGCATTTGTCTGGGAGGGACCTGCATTAGTCTGGGATGGACCTGCATTAGTCTGGGATGGACCTGCATTAGTCTGGGATGGACCTGCATTAGTCTGGGATGGACCTGCATTAGTCTGGGATGGACCTGCATTAGTCTGGGATGGACCTGCATTAGTCTGGGATGGACCTGCGTTAGTCTGGGATGGACCTGCGTTAGTCTGGGATGGACCTGCGTTAGTCTGGGATGGACCTGCATTAGTCTGGGATGGACCTGCATTAGTCTGGGATGGACCTGCATTAGTCTGGATGGGCCTGCATTGGTCTGGGTCAGTGGGTCTAACACATGACAGTGGTTCGGTGTAACTTGAAGCAGACTCACTGATGTCTCTGCCCTTTGACTCCTTCATAGTTAATGCCACATCAAAGCCCTGTGCGTGACTTTGTAGCACTCTGCGTTTCATCTCTGCTCCTGCAGGACACGCCCACTACAGAGAGAACCATGAACCATGAACCATGAACCATGAACCATGAGCCGTGAACCATGAGCCGTGAACCATGAACCATGAGCCATGAACCCTCGAACGCTTTGTGACTCTGGTCTGTGAAAGGCGGTATATTAATGAAGATTACTTACTTCCAAGCCATGAACCATGAGGCATGAACCATGAGCGTACACATGGTAACCAGGTCATTCTGGTGTGGGGCAAACGTTTTAACCCAAGCAGATTTATAATTTTCTGATTTGTTTTTCATTGTGCCATAAAAGGTTTATATATAAGTACATCTACTCTACTCTACCCTACTCTACTCTACTCTACTCTACTCTACTCTACCCTACCCTACCCTACTCTACCCTACTCTACCCTACCCTACTCTACCCTACCCTACTCTACCCTAGTCTACCCTACCCTACTCTACCATACCCTACTCTACCCTACCCTACTCTCCACTACCCTACCCTACTCTACCCTACCCCACCCTACCCTACTCTACCCTACCCTAGCCTACTCTACTCTACTCTACTCTACTCTACCCTACTCTACTCTACTCTACTCTACTCTACCCTACCCTACTCTACTCTACCCTACTCTACCCTAACCTAGCCTACTCTACTCTACTCTACTCTACCCTACCCTACTCTACTCTACTCTACCCTACCCTACTCTACCCTACCCTACCCTAGTCTACCCTACCCTAGTCTACCCTACCCTACTCTACCCTACTCTACTCTACCCTACTCTACCCTACCCTACTCTCCACTACCCTACCCCACCCTACTCTACCCTACCCTAGCCTACTCTACTCTACCCTACCCTACTCTACCCTACCCTACTCTACTCTACCCTACTCTACCCTACCCTAGCCTACTCTACTCTACTCTACCCTACCCTACTCTACACTACTCTACTCTACTCTAACCTACCCTAACCTACCCTACTCTACACTACTCTACACTACTCTACTCTACTCTACTCTAACCTACCCTACTCTACACTACCCTACCCTAGTCTACTCTACTCTACCCTACCCTACCCTACTCAAAAGTCCATATATAATGGCGTAATAATATAACGCCTTTCACACACAGCACATTTCTGTTCTGGACATTAGTCTCTCTTCACTGTTGCACATTCAGATCTGACTAAGAAAGACCGAGGTCCAACAGCTCCATTCAAACATGTATTTTCTGGTCATAGTAAATGATTCCCTGTCGCTCTCTCTGCTCGCTCCTCCGTGCTCTCTCGCTGTGGACTTTTTCACTCCTCCACAAAAATGTTGATTTGTATCAGAAACAGAATGTTCCAGACTCCTTTTGGGACTCAGTCTTTTGGTCTTCTTCTTCGACAGGGATTTTTCAATGACAGCTTCAGTGAAAACACGGTTAACGTTCCATAATGATAATCTGTCAAACAACAAACAATTGAATCAATACAAAAGCACATGACAACACAGAGGAGCCGGGAATCGATCAGGACAAACCATCTTAAAACTCACAGAATCCAGTCAGAAGGTTTTACAGTCCATGGGTCGGCTGTAAAGGGCCAGACTGTGGTTGTGTCCTTAGGCAAGACACTTCCCCCACATCAGAATGAGCCTGGTGTGTGTGTGAATGTTTGGTGGTGGTGGGAGGGGCTTAAGGCACAGACTATTATTACATACATTTATCACATACTAAACAACTTATTTGTTGGTCCAAAATATAAAAAAGCTTGCAGTGGATTTCCGCTTGATCTGCTTCAGGTGTCTCCAACCTTTTCCACCCAGAGAGCTACTTTCCCGGGGCAATAAAGGCAGAGAGCTACTACTTTAAGCAAACCCTGTGAAAAATGTGGTGATAATCTGGTATGAACAAGACATGGATACAGTAATGATTTACCACCACATACTCGTATTTAGAGAATCAAAGTGAATTTGAAATCTGAAAAATTAAGTATATAATTTGATTGGTTCATTTCTAAATTGTTTGGTGAGCTACCGGGAAGGGGGTGGCGAGCTACTGGTGGCTCCCGAGCTACAGGTTGGAGACCCCTGATCTGCTTGGTTCCGACATTCCGCAAGAAAAATGATTGTAAAGCACAAAACTATTTTCAGTAAACACCAGTTTCGGGGTTATTTAGGACTTTTCCAGAACATTCAAAAGAAAACAAAGAGCCAACCCTCAATCGTGAAAACTCCCAATGATTCCTGTTTCATCCCATTTAAAGTTTCCATTGCAGAAATTCCCTTCACATTTGGAATAAAACACAAAATAAAAAGGGCTTTACTGAAAAGCTTGTTTGAAAAGATGGGTTTAAACACTGATTTTAAAGTTTTGTAGTGAGTCAGAGTTTCTAATGTGCAGTGGGAGTGAGCTCCAGAGGGTTGGGGCGGCAATGGCAAAGGCTCTGTCCCCCAAGGTTCGGCTGTTAGTGCGGGTGATGGGGATGAGGAGGTTGGAATCGGCTGAGCGAAGGCGGCGGGTGGGTTGGTGCTGCTGTAGGAGCTCAGTAAGGAAGGGGGCGGGGCCAGGAGGGACTTGTAGGTGAGGAGAAGGAGCTTGTACTGGATGCAGTATTGAACGGGGAGCCAGTGGAGCTGCTGGAGGACAGGGGTGATGTGTTCTCTGGACCGGGTGTGGGTGAGGAGGAGGCGGGCTGCAGAGTTCTGGATGTACTGCGGTTTTTGGAGATGAGTGGTGGGGAGTCCGTAGAGGAGGCTGTTGCAGTAGTCCAGTCTGGAGGTGATGAATGCGTGGATGAGGATTTCAGCTGTTGACTGGGTAAGGGAGGGGCGGAGGCGGGCAATGTGGCGGAGGTGGAAGAAGGAGGTTTTGTGATGTGTTTGGTATGAGAGGGTGGAGTCCATTATGATGCCCAGGTTGCGCACAGAGGGTGAGGGGGTGACAATGTGACCGTCAATGAGGAGGGTGAAGTTCTGGACCGAGGGCAGGAGAGTTTTGGGGCTGATGAGGAGGAGTTCTGTTTTGTTACTGTTGAGTTTGAGAAGGTTATTGTCCATCCAGGTTTTAATGTCCTCTATGTTCTAACCCTGATTGTAATGCAGTTTCATCCACAGTTCATTGTAAGTCATTGTTGGTTTTGTGTGTTTTTCGTTTCCCAGTTCCGAGTTTGTCCCAAGAGCCAGTGTGTGTCCACTCCAGGCCACCGTACCGACCTCTTCCTGCGGGATCCAGGCTCGGTGCTCATCACGGATTTCTTCGGCAGCGTTCGCAAAGTGGAGATCACGACAGACGCCATCAACCTGACGGAGAGCGCGAGGCCGAAGGAGCACAGGTGAGAGAGCGGTTTATAAACAGGAGACTCGTACAGATGGACAATGCTAACATGTTAGCTCAATGATAGCCAATAGGGAAGTGCTCATGGTGAAGTTTGGCCCCAACTCACACCGGTTCCTATTGACTTTAATGTAAAAGTAGTCTCTATCTGGTCTCTCTCTGGTCTCTCACTGGTCTCTCTCTAATCTCTCTCTAATATCTCTCTGGTCTCTCTGGTCTCTCTCTCTGGTCCATCTGGTCTCTCTCTCTGGCCCCTCTGGTTTCTCTCAGGCCTGTCCCTGGTCTGTTTCTGGTCTCTCTCTGGTCTTTCTCTGGTCTCTCTCTCCTCTCCCTCTGGTCTCTCTCTGGTCTCCCTCTGGTCTCTCTCTGGTCTCCCTCTGGTCTCCCACTGGTCTCTCTCTGGTCTCTCTGTCTGGCCCCTCTGGTCTCTCTCTGGTCTCTCTCTCTCTCTCTCTGGTCTTTCTCTGGTCTCTCTCTCTCTTTCTCTGGTCTCTCTCTCTGGTCTCTCTCTCTCTCTCTGGTCTTTCTCTGGTCTTTCTCTGGTCCCTCTCTGGTCTCTCTCTGGTCTCTCTCTCTCTGGTCCCTCTCTGGTTTCTCTCTGGTCTCTCTCTGGTCTCTCTCTCTCTGGTCTCTCTCTCTCTCTCTCTCTGGTCTTTCTCTGGTCTTTCTCTGGTCTCTCTCTGGTCTCTCTCTGGTCTCTCTCTGGTCTGTCTCTGGTCTCTCTCTGGTCTCCCTCTGGTCTCCCACTGGTCTCTCTCTGGTCTCTCTGTCTGGCCCCTCTGGTCTCTCTCTGGTCTCTCTCTCTCTCTCTCTCTGGTCTTTCTCTGGTCTCTCTCTCTCTCTGGTCTCTCTCTCTCTTTCTCTGGTCTCTCTCTCTGGTCTCTCTCTCTCTCTGGTCTCTCTCTGGTCTTTCTCTGGTCTTTCTCTGGTCTCTCTCTGGTCTCTCTCTGGTCTCTCTCTCTCTGGTCTCTCTCTGGTCTCTGCTCTCTCTCTCTGGTCTTTCTCTGGTCTTTCTCTGGTCTCTCTCTGGTCTCTCTCTGGTCTCTCTCTGGTCTCTCTCTGGTCTCTCTCTCTGGTCTTTCTCTGGTCTCTCTCTGGTCTCTCTCTCTGGTCTTTCTCTGGTCTCTCTCTGGTCTCTCTCTCTCTGGTCTCTCTCTGGTCTCTCTCTGGTCTCTCTCTGGTCTCTCTCTCTCAGGTCTCTCTCTGGTCTCTCTCTGGTCTCTCTCTGGTCTCTCTCTGGTCTCTCTCTGGTCTCTCTCTCTGGTCTTTCTCTGGTCTCTCTCTGGTCTCTCTCTGGTCTCTCTCTCTGGTCTCTCTCTGGTCTCTCTCTGGTCTCTCTCTCTCTCTCTCTGGTCTTTCTCTGGTCTCTCTCTCTGGTCTCTCTCTGGTCTCTCTCTCTGGTCTTTCTCTCAGCTTCTCTTGCTTTAATACAGCGCCTTCAAAACTCAAATCCCCCTCTCTGAGCTCTACTCTCGCCCTAACGTGTCTTTTGGCTCCCCCTGGTGTCCATTCTGCTCCACTGCACAGCTCTAAACAGCTTTGACGCACTGTGGCCACTAGATGGAGCTGCAGTCTCATCTTCAGAGAGAGCCCTGCTTCCTCTCAGCTCCCACTCACAATCCATATTCTAGTTGGAACTTTAAATATATTCTTTTCTCTTTTGTTATTTCAAACTCAGCTCTTGTTTATGTATAATTTAACAAGGCGGTGATTGAACCAGCGTGTGTTGTTTCTTCTTGTCTCCCGTAAATGAGCCCGTTCTTGCTAATTAGTAATTAAAGGCAATCTTCCAAAGTGATGTTTATTGCCGCTTCGCCCGGAGGCTATAGTCAGACTGAACAAACCTCCCTCCTCTTCCCGTCTTCATGGGTTTGTGAATCCGCTGGAAAGAGGGAGAAGCTGTGGCCTAATTTAGTCTCGGAATAAAGGGGGTTTTAAATCTCCAAATCTGATGTAATCTGGAGAAATGTGTGATCTGTGTACAGGAACGCACTGAGGCTGCAGAGATGGGAATAAGACTGAGATACAAACGCAATCTTGTGCTGTGTCAGGACGATTATCACATCAAATACATGTTCGGCCTCGCAGTCTGAAGCAAACGCTGTCTCGGAAATGTACTAAATAGTAGAAAAGAGGAAAATAAATAAAGTTATTATCAATGAAGGTGTAAAATGTAACCTCAGAGTGGTTTTGTGTGTGGCAGTGTAGAAAACGTTAGCAGAAGTAGCCAAAGAGAGGCCAGAGAGGGAGAGAGGCCAGAGAGGGAGAGAGGCCAGAGAGGGAGAGAGGCCAGAGAGGGAGAGAGGCCAGAGAGGGAGAGAGACCAGAGAGGGAGAGAGGCCAGAGAGGCCAGAGAGGAAGAGAGGCCAGAGAGGGAGAGAGGCCAGAGAGGGAGAGAGGCCAGAGAGGGAGAGAGGCCAGAGAGGGAGAGAGGCCAGAGAGGGAGAGAGGCCAGAGAGGGAGAGAGGCCAGAGAGGGAGAGAGGCCAGAGAGGGAGAGAGGCCAGAGAGGGAGAGAGGCCAGAGAGGGAGAGAGGCCAGAGAGGGAGAGAGGGCCAGAGAGGCCAGAGAGGGAGAGAAGGGAGAGAGGGAGAGAGGCCAGAGAGGGAGAGAGGCCAGAGAGGGAGAGAGGCCAGAGAGGGAGAGAGGCCAGAGAGGGAGAGAGGCCAGAGAGGGAGAGAGGCCAGAGAGGGAGAGAGGGGAGAGAGGGAGAGAGGCCAGGGAGGGAGAGGGAGAGAGGCCAGAGAGGGAGAGAGGCCAGAGAGGGAGAGAGACCAGAGAGGGAGAGAAGGGAGAGAGGGAGAGAGGCCAGAGAGGGAGAGAGACCATAGAGGGAGAGAGGGAGAGAGACCAGAGAGGGAGAGAGGGAGAGAGGCCAGAGAGGGAGAGAGACCAGAGAGGGAGAGAAGGGAGAGAGGGAGAGAGGCCAGAGAGGGAGAGAGGCCAGAGAGGGAGAGAGGCCAGAGAGGGAGAGAGACCAGAGAGGGAGAGAGGCCAGAGAGGGAGAGAGACCAGAGAGGGAGAGAAGGGAGAGAGGCCAGAGAGGGAGAGAGGCCAGAGAGGGAGAGAGGCCAGAGAGGGAGAGAGGCCAGAGAGGCCAGAGAGGGAGAGAGGCCAGAGAGGGAGAGAGGGGAGAGAGGCCAGAGAGGGAGAGAGGCCAGAGAGGGAGAGAGGCCAGAGAGGGAGAGAGGCCAGAGAGGGAGAGAGGCCAGAGAGGGAGAGAGGCCAGAGAGGCCAGAGAAAGAGAGAGGCCAGAGAGGGAGAGAGGCCAGAGAGGCCAGAGAAAGAGAGAGGCCAGAGAGAGAGAGAGGCGAGAGACCAGAGAGAGAGGAACCAGAGAAAATGTACATTTACAAAGCACAAAGACACTTAGGTCTCGCTGCCGTTTCCAGAACATTCCAAAGTAAATTATCGCACAGCTTTACGACAGGTGAGGTCAGGTCGGCCGCTTTTGTCGGAGTTTGAGCCCGTGTCAAGGCCTTTACCCTGCGGATACGGCTAAAACCAGGTCTGATTACTCTGTCAAAGACATGGCAGCTGTGAGAGAAACCCATTAACACGTCAACGGGACGCGACAATGGTCCAAAGTCAGAGAGTGCATCTCCAAATGAATCTCTGGCTCCTCTCTGAAAGCTTGGATCAGATCTAGTGCCCACATTAATCCTCCCTGCTCTGCTTTTTCACTTCACTTCACTTAGAGGCTCCTGTAGTGGCTGTATATCCCGCTTCACCTTCCCCTCCCTCGCGTTTCCAAATGGCTCGTTTCCATCCTGGAACAAACAGCTCTTTGCATTAACGTGATTGCTGTTGATGGAGCGGGCCTTTTTATGCACTCCTCTTCATTAAAAACACAAGACGTTTAGTGGTGTAAGAGCGGCTGCAGACGGAGGGAGGGATCGGGACGAGACTGCTACATGAGGAAGGCTGTAGACTGATGGAGGTTTGGGACCAGGATGAGACGGTTACCTGAGGAAGACTAGACTGTGATTGCGAGGAGACAGTGAAAAAGCAGCCTCCATTTTGACACATATGGGATCGGTTTGGGATCAGGATGAGACTGAGAAAGACTAGACTGAGATTGAGGTTTGGGACCAGGATGAGACGGTTACCTGAGGAAGACTAGACTGTGATTGAGGTTTGGGACCAGAATGAGACGGTTACCTGAGGAAGACTAGACTCAGATTGAGGTGTGGTATCAGGATGAGACTTTTACATGAGAAAGTCTAGACTGTGATTGAGGTTTGGGATCAGGATGAGACTGAGAAAGACTAGACCGTGATTGAGGTTTGGGATCAGGATGAGACTGAGAAAGACTAGACCGTGATTGAGGTTTGGGATCAGGATGAGACTGAGAAAGACTAGACTGTGATTGAGGTTTGGGACCAGGATGAGACGGTTACCTGAGGAAGACTAGACTGTGATTGAGGTTTGGGATCAGGATGAGACTGTTACCTGAGGAAGACTAGACTGTGATTGAGGTTTGGGACCAGGATGAGACGGTTACCTGAGGAAGACTAGACTGTGATTGAGGTTTGGGATCAGGATGAGACTGTTACCTGAGGAAGACTAGACTGTGATTGAGGTTTGGGATCAGGATGAGACTGTTACCTGAGGAAGACTAGACTGTGATTGAGGTTTGGGATCAGGATGAGACTTTTACATGAGAAAGACTAGACTGTGATTGAGGTTTGGGATCAGGATGAGACTGTTACCTGAGAAAGACTAGACTGAGATTGAGGTTTGGGATCAGGATGAGACTGTTGCATGAGAAAGACTAGACTGAGATTGAGGTTTGGGATCAGGATGAGACCTGCATGAGAAAGACTAGACTGTGATTGAGGTTTGGGATCAGGATGAGACTGTTGCATGAGAAAGACTAGACTGTGATTGAGGTTTGGGATCAGGATGAGACTGTTACCTGAGAAAGACTAGACTGAGATTGAGGTTTGGGATCAGGATGAGACTGTTGCATGAGAAAGACTAGACTGAGATTGAGGTTTGGGATCAGGATGAGACCTGCATGAGAAAGACTAGACTGAGATTGAGGTTTGGGATCAGGATGAGACTGAGAAAGACTAGACTGAGATTGAGGTTTGGGATCAGGATGAGACTGTTGCATGAGAAAGACTAGACTGAGATTGAGGTTTGGGATCAGGATGAGACTGTTGCATGAGAAAGACTAGACTGAGATTGAGGTTTGGGATCAGGATGAGACTGTTGCATGAGAAAGACTAGACTGAGATTGAGGTTTGGGATCAGGATGAGACTGAGAAAGACTAGACTGAGATTGAAGTTTGGGATCGGATCAGGATGAGACTGTTGCATGAGAAAGACTAGACTGAGATTGAGGTTTGGGATCAGGATGAGACTGTTGTTGCATGAGAAAGACTAGACTGAGATTGAGGTTTGGGATCAGGATGAGACTGTTGCATGAGAAAGACTAGACTGAGATTGAGGTATGGGATCAGGATGAGACTGTTGCATGAGAAAGACTAGACTGAGATTGAGGTATGGGATCAGGATGAGACTGTTGCATGAGAAAGACTAGACTGAGATTGAGGTTTGGGATCAGGATGAGACTGTTGCATGAGAAAGACTAGACTGAGATTGAGGTATGGGATCAGGATGAGACTGTTGCATGAGAAAGACTAGACTGAGATTGAGGTTTGGGATCAGGATGAGACTGTTGCATGAGAAAGACTAGACTGAGATTGAGGTTTGGGATCAGGATGAGACTGTTGCATGAGAAAGACTAGACTGAGATTGAGGTTTGGGATCAGGATGAGACTGTTGCATGAGAAAGACTAGACTGAGATTGAGGTTTGGGATCAGGATGAGACCTGCATGAGAAAGACTAGACTGTGATTGAGGTTTGGGATCAGGATGAGACTGTTGCATGAGAAAGACTAGACTGAGATTGAGGTTTGGGATCAGGATGAGACTGTTGCATGAGAAAGACTAGACTGAGATTGAGGTTTGGGATCAGGATGAGACTGTTGCATGAGAAAGACTAGACTGTGATTGAGGTTTGGGATCAGGATGAGACTGTTGCATGAGAAAGACTAGACTGTGATTGAGGTTTGGGATCAGGATGAGACTGTTGCATGAGAAAGACTAGACTGTGATTGAGGTTTGGGATCAGGATGAGACTGTTGCATGAGAAAGACTAGACTGAGATTGAGGTTTGGGATCAGGATGAGACTGTTGCATGAGAAAGACTAGACTGAGATTGAGGTTTGGGATCAGGATGAGACCTGCATGAGAAAGACTAGACTGAGATTGAGGTTTGGGATCAGGATGAGACTGAGAAAGACTAGACTGAGATTGAGGTTTGGGATCAGGATGAGACTGTTGCATGAGAAAGACTAGACTGAGATTGAGGTTTGGGATCAGGATGAGACTGAGAAAGACTAGACTGAGATTGAGGTTTGGGATCAGGATGAAACTGTTGCATGAGAAAGACTAGACTGAGATTGAGGTTTGGGATCAGGATGAGACTGTTGCATGAGAAAGACTAGACTGAGATTGAGGTATGGGATCAGGATGAGACTGTTGCATGAGAAAGACTAGACTGAGATTGAGGTATGGGATCAGGATGAGACTGTTGCATGAGAAAGACTAGACTGAGATTGAGGTATGGGATCAGGATGAGACTGTTGCATGAGAAAGACTAGACTGAGATTGAGGTTTGGGATCAGGATGAGACTGTTGCATGAGAAAGACTAGACTGAGATTGAGGTATGGGATCAGGATGAGACTGTTGCATGAGAAAGACTAGACTGAGATTGAGGTTTGGGATCAGGATGAGACTGTTGCATGAGAAAGACTAGACTGAGATTGAGGTTTGGGATCAGGATGAGACTGAGAAAGACTAGACTGAGATTGAGGTTTGGGATCAGGATGAGACTGTTGCATGAGAAAGACTAGACTGAGATTGAGGTTTGGGATCAGGATGAGACTGTTGCATGAGAAAGACTAGACTGAGATTGAGGTATGGGATCAGGATGAGACTGTTGC